CCTTACAAGCAGTCACATATCGATCAGGGGATGCCGACAAGGACCGGAAAAACTGTAATGATGGTTTTGGGCTAATTGGACGTCGTCAACCGCACTAAATTTCAGGCTTGAATGACGTGGTATTTGAACCCAAGGTTTTTTCGTAATCGAGGGTTGAGTCTCACTTCCTACCATTGGAGCACGTCTCCGTTGTCCTGCCGGTCACGATCAAGAATATTCGCCGCCCCCCTCCCCCCACCTCGCCAATACTCCTTCCTGCATATGTTTGTGGTCGCTGTACGAGTTCCTGCACGGGCTCTTGATTAAGCCGCATTGGTGCAGTGGGACGAATACGTCCGCTCGCCTGATCAGTGAGCGCTCTTTTTATGACAGGGACGCATAATCGATTCAGTTCTTACACCACAGCATTTACCGTGTTCCAGTGCGCTGGGTTGAAGCGCAACGACGGGCCTGAAGCAAGCTCCGCTCTACGCGTGCCGCAGCACGACTGGTTTTCCCACAACCGAATCTGAATCCGCATTGAATTTTACCGGCACTGGAGAAGCGCTGATTGCCCTCATTTTCGCCAGCTTACTGATTAAATCGGTTATGAAAGTGTAGTCGCTGCGCTCATTGCAGTCTCGTGAAGGTATTCCTAGGATCTGAGCTTCATCTGACGACCGCGTGTGACTAGGCACCCGGCGCAACTAAAAGTCGATCCAGCTGATCGTCATAGTAATCTGTTTTCGCGTTTTGAAAATGCCAGTTAACCTGCGCAGATTCGGGTGGGTGGCACGTTTTTTTTTTCGGGTCGCGTTACTGCGTTTAAAGGTTTCAGCATTTAGTGCACGTTTGGTTTCTAAAGTCAGACTGATCTGCGTAATTACCGAAAAGGCCTTGTGTAAGCCTGTTAACTTTTTTGTTAGGGAACATTACTTCAGTTCTCTGGTCTTCGGTCACGCTAACGATCAAGTAGTTGCTTTCACTGTTTGCATCGTGACAGTTTTTAATCCAAGTTGCGAAGGTATGTATAGAAAGCATAGAAAATCGAATGCATAAATTAATTTGTTTTTTTTCATCAAAGAACCTTCGTACCTCTCGACACAAATTCCCAGTCATGGTAACATGTATGAACCATGATGGGTGTTTTGTGTAAGTAGTACGCTTTTTTAGACCTCCGCTAGATAATTAATTACTGGGTCGCCATTACGCTGGAATACCGATGTGTCCGTCTCTGCAGACAATTTGACGCTTCTGTTGAGCTAAATTCAATGGGGACGAAACAGACCACCAACTGCCGTCACGCCCAGCCTAAATCCACATGCATGGCCAAACAGCGACCGGAGAAAAATCGGTTAGCCCAAGGCCAACACACACAGCCGTAACTTTAAATTTGCTGATCGATAATGGCAGTATTCGCTTCGACAAAGGACAGCCGCCCCAGCTGTCTGAAACGTCAGCAAATCTACAAATTTATTCCGGTGAGCAGAAGAGGAATTCTTAAATTCAATGAGAAATAGTGACAGTCAGAGCCCTCTTTCGAAGGTCTTCTCCGCACAGGATGCTTCTGTTGTTTGAGAATTCTGTCCACCACTTATTGACCAACAGTTTGAGCAACGCTGACCGCAGC